CACCTAGTGGCTGAGCAAGAATATGTGAAACTCAGAGGGGAAACCGGCATGCAAATCCATTTCACTGTAACTTAAAGCAACACGAGCAAAGCCCATAACATCAACACACAAATCTGCACTAAAGATGAGTGACAACATGATTCAATTTACAAGTAGGTTACTTTTCTCCCCCTTAAAATAACTCCAATTAAATACTGGCAACACAAACAAATGTATGCTATAATCAGACACAGAATAAAATATGTATAGTTGTGTCATTCTTTTAAGCTTTCAAGGGTTCCCTAATCAAGTAATTTCTCCCTCACTGGATGTCATTGCTGTTTTTCTTCATGTGTCACATCTAATGTTGTGACTGCAGCAGAGTTTAAAAGCCGCCGAGACATTGTGTGTCATTATACAGTTTTGTATTTATTCTGAAAGACTGAAAAAAGAGAAACTGAAACTAAGAAGACAAAAACATGATTCAGTTTCATTTGAGTCTTACTTTCTTTCTTATTTTCTAATTATAATCAACTGTTCACAGGTCTCAATATCTTTAAAAAAAAACATCTCAAGAACTCCAATACAAGTGATTCAATAAATTCATTTCATTCATTAATTTCATGGATTGCCTATGTTGAGACCATGTTGGTGACAATTGCTCGAACTCGCCGATAGATGGCAGCATTTAGCTTAATTTAAACCCACAGTTCACCCCTCCAGGTCAGTTTAAAAAAAAGCTCACGACGTTTTCTTCAAATATGGCCGTCATATGTTGCAAGATTTAATTACAACATAAGTATTCAGGGGGGGACGTCTTACAAAAATGTAATTAGAAAAATATATAAATGATGGGCAAAAAGCAACAATTAGGGAAAGTAAGAAAGAGACTGAAGAGGACAAGGACAGTGAGATAATAACTCCCCCCCCCCCCCCCACCCCTTCTGTTAAAACAGACCGTGTAGATGTGACAAAGTGACTTTTCCTTTGATAAGAAGTGAGAGTGCAGGAATCACTTTGCCCTCAGACTCGAGCACTGTGGCTTTATTGAGTCTAAGCACCTCGGCTTCCCAAGTGTCCTGAAAATACACCAAGATCTAACACAATGCAGGAAAAATAATTAAAAGAAGAGAAAACGATGGACGTTTCAAAATATTACATTTCAGTTTGATCAATTCAACCTATAGAGGTGTCTTCTGTGGAGCTGTCCACTGGAGTGTGGTGCTGAAACGGATTTGTCCCTTTCAAGCGGACAGGAAAAACATTTTTAGTTACAAAATTGTTCAAGATCGATAACTACAGGATTTATTTGAGCTCAAGCAGGGTTGAGCGAGAAGCGAAATGTGTGTAGTAATTGCAGCAGTTGCTTCGATGCATACAAACATACTCATAAAGTTAAAAATGTAATCGCAGATACAATAAATTAAAGTAGTTTAACTTCATCAAAAAAATGAGGCACGCATCTTGGCTCTGTTTTGAAGCAACTGACTGGGCAGCAGTGCGCACTCGGGATTTTGTATTTAATTAGCATAAAACATCTTCTGGAGAGCAGAAGGACCGTGCGTCACAGCCAACTGAGAAGATGGGAGGGGGGACACCTATGGGAGTCAACAAACTGCAGTGTGTATTCCTTCCACGGCCGACAAAAAGCAATCCGGCTGATGTGAAATGATGACTTAGCTGAGTGCGTTACAGGTGACAGGAGACAGCTGTGCGCGTCTGGGAGTAGAAGGGGCTCAGCAGACCGACCTAAACCGGCAAGTCCTCCGCACTGCGAGCTCGCCGTGAACCTCCAACCTGTGAGTGCTGTCCGGGACCAGCACGTCACCTGAATGACGGGATATGAGACAATGAAGCGACTAGGGACGGCGGGGATAAAACGACTCCAAGTCACGGAAGTGGAAAAGCGCGTGCGATGACGGACAGCACAAGGGACAGAGAAGAGGTAAAGCAGAGGAAAGTTGTCTAGCTCAATAGAAGGGCTCCCGGTGTTGGATAAGAAACCAGAATAAAAGACAGGACAGATGTGTCAAGCGTGCGTAATTCTCTAAACAACTCAAACGGGGGAAGCCGATTTATTTTCTAAAAGACACGACTCGAGCCAGAAGGGGAGAAAACAATGGAGCCGGAGGGGACCACAGAGGGACAAGCCACTAATTTGGCACAATCTGCCGCTTTAAAACTGTCCCAGATGAGCGAAAGAACTCAACAACTGGGTAATGTCATCCAAGACCCAGAGCGACAGAAACGGATTATTCTAGTAATAGTCTGTGTTGCACTTTTGTTAGACAACATGCTTTACATGGTTATTGTGCCAATTATACCCGATTACCTTGAAGGGCTACAGAAAGCCGCGGATCAGGCCCAAGCTGCTGCACCGCACACCAACTACACCAACAGCACCTTCCACAAAGCTGCCAAGGGAAACTTCGACCTTCAGATCGGTGTTCTTTTCGCCTCCAAGGCCATCCTGCAGCTCCTGGTGAACCCACTGAGTGGCCCGTTTATAGACAGAGTTGGGTATGATATCCCGCTCTTTATTGGTCTCAATGTCATGTTTCTCTCCACCCTTGTGTTTGCCTTCGCTGAAAACTACGCGACCCTCTTCCTGGCGCGCAGCTTGCAGGGCCTCGGCTCAGCTTTTGCAGACACCGCGGGGATCGCTCTCATCGCAGACAGGTACACGGTGGACACAGAGAGAAGCAAAGCGCTGGGTATAGCCTTGGCATTCATCTCTTTTGGAAGCCTCGCGGCGCCCCCCTTTGGAGGTGTCCTCTACCAGTTTGCGGGGAGGCGCGTGCCTTTCCTGATCCTGGCCTGTATCTGTCTTATTGATGGGATATGCTGTCTGGCTGTGCTGAAACCATTCTCTAACAAAGAGAGAGAAAACATGCCAGTTGGCACCCCCATGTATAAACTTATGATTGATCCTTACATAGCCGTAGTGGCTGGTGCTCTCATCATCTGTAACATTCCTCTCGCCTTCCTTGAGCCAACTATAGCCAACTGGATGGAGGACACCATGCATGCCAGCCAGTGGGAGATCGGCATGACATGGTTCCCTGCCTTCTTCCCTCATGTCTTAGGTGTGTATCTGACTGTCAAATTAGCAGCTAAGTATCCTCACTTGCAGTGGTTTTACGGAGCTATAGGTATGGTGTTCATCGGCGCGAGCTCCTGCACAGTGCCAGCCTGTAAAAACTTTGGACAGCTCATGATCCCGCTGTGCGGAATCTGTTTTGGAATCGCCTTCGTGGACACTGCGCTCCTTCCCACACTAGGCTTCCTGGTGGATGTGCGCCATGTGTCCGTGTATGGCAGCGTATACGCCATTGCGGACATCTCTTACTGTGTGGCCTATGCCCTGGGGCCCGTGGCTGCTGGACAGATAGTGCACAACCTGGGCTTTGTGCAGCTAAACTTAGGCATGGGCCTCGCCAATGTACTTTACGCACCGGCGCTCCTGCTGCTGAAAAACGTGTCACAGATGAAACCTTCATTCTCCGAGCGTAATATGCTCCTGGAGGATGGCCCAACAGGTCTGTATGACACGATTAAAATGGAGCAACGAGAGAAAAAGAGGAAGGGTTTGTGTACAACGATCGACGAGAATGGTACTGAAACGTTTGCACAGAGGTCGTATTCAGAGGAGGAATCCTCCGGAGGAGAGTATGCGTAAAATTACTTTAACTGAGTGTTAAACTATCAAAGTGCCACTGTAGAGTTGTGTGCATTCTGTCAGATCCAATCAGTTGCTTAATACGGTTAGGATTATGTAACAGGCTAAATTATCCACCGCTTCTGGTGACAATCCCTGCGGGTATTGTCAATTCAAGTAGCTTCAAGCTTCCGCAGTAGAAAGGCGCGCGCTGGAGTTTGTTCATCTTAAAGTGAGAGTACTGTGATTGAAGTTTTGTTGAGGTAAATGTCAAGTCATTAACGGTAATTAGCACTGTATCAAAAACTGACTCATATCGTATTCAGGGATCATGTGTAAATGTATTTTAACAAAACAAGAGCTGTAATGTAAACGCGTCTTTCAATGTAGTATGTATTCATTTTGCCAGAGTTGTGCTGCTAAACTCAATATGCAATACTGACTGTGTGTTAAAGAGAGGAACAACAGATCGACATGAAGTAAAATCTGCATCTTGTTGTCTGTTCATTTTGTTTATTTTGAATCATGTATTTCTGGAATGCATAGCCTCATATTATAATCTAAGACTGTACATAGATGTATATTCATGTACATAATTAAATGAATATTATGTGAATGATACGGTATATGGACATCCTTTATTTGATGATTAAAATAATGCAAACCGCATTTTATAGTGCCGTATAACAATTGTTCTTTCATATACAGGTGAAGAAATACACTAACAAAAAATAACATCAAAATATGATGATGATGATCTGAGGAAAAGTTATAACGCACGGTTAAAAACACACATTTATGCACTTTATGCACCGCCTTAATTACAGAGGATATTACGAAAACTATTATTTATAACTATTCTACACTGAGATAGTTTACAACATACTATCTGAAATATTAAATAGCCAAGGTTTAATAATTAATCCTTAGAAAATACAACATCACCGAATAAAACATTGTTTTAAAACAGAACATTTTATTGTTTTTATTGGACCCTGAGGTTCGTATAGTGTTTAAAATCGACATTCTTTTTCCAGCAACTAAGCTAGTGTAAAACGTCTTTAAATATAACATGAAGAACAACGCGAACTAAATCGGTCTGTTGCAGCAAGGTGCAAGCAATGAATGCGCGCAGAATGTGCGCAAAAAGTGCTGAAAACTGATCGTAAAAAAAGAGAAAGTCCGCGTAAAAAGCATCCCAAATGTTCTTCGGAACATCTTGTGGAATCTAAATGAGGTGGGGTGAAAATTGTGAAATGCCAAATAAACTTCTTGGCGAATAGAAAGACTTATGGGAGGAGCTTAGCTGGCAGGAGGGTGAGGTACCCTCTCAGCATCTCTCCTTAGCCAGCGAGGGAGTTGTGCTCGTGCCATGAAGGGATTTAAAGACAATGATGAAGGATCCAAAGTGATGAAATCTGAATAAATTTATGGAAGAAATGGATTGAAGACCAGAAGCAAAAACTCCTAAGTGGAGTCCCGGGACGAGTTTCTTTTTTTTTTTTGATTTTCTTTCTGGTGAGTACAACTATATACTAAGTAATTTTGTTATTTTTACTCATGACAGGATGTTTTTTTAATTTTGTTTTGCGACAGATATCCTAAAGTGATTGCGAACACCTGCTTAAGCTTCTTGTATTTTATATCTAAAATCTAGAATATCCCCACAGCAGTGCGACGTTTAAAGACAACGTCCTTTAATTAGACTGTTATCGAGACTGACTGTTGTTTAAAAAGCACTTTTACATAACCTTGTTTCTGATATTATTCTGCATGTGGAAACAGAATCTTCCTCTCTGCGCCGCCAACATGCCAGTTCTGGACCAAGACCCCTCTAAAGATTCAGGGGGCAGTGATGTAAATATGTTTTATTTCACTAAATTCAATAAATTAACATGTGGTCATTATATTACATGAGATAAATATTGTTTAACAGTCAATAAGAATTGTTAGGAATATTAATGAGTGACTTGAAAAGGGAATGAAGGTATTATATTATGTAAAAATGAATACTAGATCATTACATTTTAATTTAATTTTGTCTTATTCAGTGTAGAGTGAAGATAATTATTTGCAAATTGTGGCTGTTGTTTTAGTATCACAAATACTTGAGTTACTTTTTAGTTTGTTTGTATGTATTAGTAAAAATGATCTAATGTCAGTGTCGGAGCAGTCTATCAAGGTTTAAATGCTGAGGTGTAGTCGTGAATTAAGGAAAATAAACGCACAGCTTTTTAGGGTTTACTGAGATTTTTTTTCGCTCTTCATCCTACTCAGGGTCTCCCTAAGCTGCCTCTCCCAGCCCTGAAAGATACACTGGACTTGTACCTGAGGTGTATGAAGCACCTGCTCACAGAGGAGCAGTTCAACAAAACCAAAATCATCGTGGAGCAGTTTGGAGCCCCTGGAGGAGTGGGAGAGCTACTGCAGAGCAAACTTGAGGAGAGGAGGGAGAACAAGGCCAACTGGGTAAAAACAATCCTCTGGTTTAAAATGCACATGATGACTTTAAAGCTCCTGTGAGGAACTTACAGTTTATGTCCCTTTTGGCAGACCTTGTGGACAGAGTGTTATGTCTTTTCTCACTGCTGATCTCCTTCTGAACCTCTGTTATTTAATGTTTTCTGACAAAAATATCATCCTTCTTTATTTTTAAATGTCTAAAATGCAACTCACTATGATTCTTTGGCATTTTAAAAAGGCTGTTTATCGCTAGCCTGACTCCTACCCAACAGCAGGGACAACAGGAATTAAAATGACTTCAAAGAAGTAATCAATGTTGTTGCTGATGGTCCGGTTTGATTTTATATCATATAAAGTAGTAACAGAATCTATTTCTGTCTTTTCATTCACCAGAAAAAACTCCTCACAGGAGCTTTAAGTAATTGTTCCAAAACAAGTTGCTTTCAACTTTTTTGCAACACAAGCATCTTGATGATTACATTCATGGATGATAAATACACAGGTTCCTTTATTGTAAAGAGAAGACTAACGCTTTGGTAAATAAAAGTGTGAATACAAAAAAGAAATATGTGATATTGTTACATTTCTGATATAAATACAAATATAGAATCTAGAAAAAATATTGATTCAGATGACACAAGTCTCAAAATGTCATGTGACATTGAATCATATTATAGGTCTGGTTTACCTAATTTTTCACATCAACACAGATGTTAACAACCATGAACAGAATTGGAAAACATTACCAATACAAAGTCTGCCTTTGAAATGAATTGAATTCAATCCATTTCAAAGTGATTAAGTGTATTGTTCTCTGAGTTTGTATTGTTTTCCCCACATGTTTGCCATGAGATCACATTTTCTCTTCATGTGAATATTTTCCACTGCAGGTGTATGAATACTGGCTGAACGACATGTACCTGAACAACAGACTGTCTCTACCCGTCAACTCCAGTCCTGTGATGGTTTTCCCCCAGCAGAACTTCAGGGCTCCCATCGACTCTTTAAGGTGCCAGACACTGCACAACCAAAACAAAATAGGTCACCAGAGGAACAGCCCAATGTGATCTTTTTTTTCAGCAGATCTCTTGTTTGTCATATTCTATAAAAGAACAGGATTTTATTGCATCATAAAAATGCAAATATCCACCACTTGACAGGCATTTTTTGGGATTAAAACGTCCCGAGGAACTGAGAAATGACAGTCAACTGTGTCGGCCGGCTTTGATTGATTATAACAAATTGAACACTTCCTTCTACACGTTGACAGATAGGGTCATTACGTTGAAGACCTGGAGGGCTGAGAGGCTAGGTCAGGCTACTCATGGTGGCAAGGTTAATAGACAATGTGGACTGTGCTTTAGTTAACATCGTATTGATTTGTGATTGGACCTTTAACCAGGTGATTTACGTGTTGCATTTAGACAGTTAAGTGTAATACAGGGACACAGAGATGCAGAGAATTATAACCACAGGTACATAGAGAGAAGAAGTGCAATACACACAGTGTATGTTTATTTTTAAAGCATGATACATTATAAAGTTTTCCTTTCTTAGGTTTGCTGCACACTTAATTTCTGGAGTTTTGGAGTACAAGACTCTTCTTGATGCGTGAGTTAAAGTGCAATAAAAACACAAATTAACTTGAGAAAATCAATCACATCTGATTTGTTTACACGCATGGTTAATAAGTCTGACAAAGTGTGTGTGTCTGTGTGTAGACGGGCCCTGCCTGTGGACTACGCTCGGGGTCAGCTGGCTGGGACGCCTCTGTGCATGGAGCAGTACTATCGCCTCTTCACCTCTTATCGTCTACCGGGGCCTGAAAGGGACACACTAGTGGCCCAGGAGAGCAGCGTGATGCCTGAACCTGAACACATCATCGTGGCTTGTAAAAACCAGGTCAGACATAATGATTAAAAAAAATAATCCAAGGTCATCACAGACTAGTTTCACATTCATTCCCAAAAATAGAAAATCTTTCAAACTTTTCTGAGGATTTCCGCTACAACACACAGTCATCATCTCCAACTGGAGTTTACTTTAGAGCTACAACAATCAACTGGTTGTGCATTTAATCAAAGTTAGAATAAATCACAAAATATTCTGGAAATGAATGTTGTTTTTAAAATTTTCAAGCCAAAATGTGAAATGATTTCAGCGTCTTAATTATAAGGATTTATTGCTCGTCCTTGGATTTGAGTTGTTGGTTGGACAATAAAAAAGCAATTATAAAATGGCACTTTGGGCTCAAACTAATTGTGGTGCTCATTTGTCACAACCTGCCTTTTATAGCACTTAACACACCTGTGTAGGCCCATGTGATTATGCTGGGTGAAGCTGCAGGTGAAACATGTTGTTCGCTCACAATAAAGTGACAGTTAAGTAATCTTCAGTGGGTCACGGTTTATTTATTTCTCTGCCTTCAAAAGTCTTAATGATTTCTTTTGTTTATTCAATAAATCAATTAGCAAATTAAATCATGACCAAAATAAACATTAGTTGCAGCCTTTGTCAGTAATTGTTAGAGCTGCAAATAACACTTTCAGGATTGTGTTGTCAAAGACATTTAAGTAAGCCTGACAATTAAATCCCAAGTCCACTATGTTTGTTTGTTTTCTTTTCTTTTCTGGGAGATTTCAACCATACGACAGGCTGTCTACATCAGGAGAACAAGACACAACTTTCTTGCTGATAAAAGCTAAAATAGCATGGATACATTCAGAATAGATCTCCTAATGATAGACAGAGAACAACAGTAACAGTGACAGTTTCTCTTAATTACTGCGACAGCTAGACTACACATTGTGTTTTTGTTGCAGCAGAACATATGGATCATCACTGAATTGTGTCTGCTGGTAAACAGAATCTGAGGGCATGAGTGATTATCAGCAAAACCCCGCTGACAAGTTCTCTCTTCTTAGATAATTATCGTTAACACGTGTGACATTTGGACTCAGCAAGCAACCTTCAGCATTGCCAGAAATAAAGTCATAAAACAAGTAAAACAATTAAAGTGTTCACTCACTATCACCAAGTCTTTTAATTAGACCAGTAATGGACCAGAACTGTACTATTCAGCCACTTTGTAAATAGCAGGTATTTCAAAAATAACTGAATGTGAGGATAAGAACAGCAGATCTGGATGCATCTTAACACAGGTTAGCTGTAAGACTGTCTTTCAAGGATGAAGACCAAACAGACTTAGGATGGAAGTGGAAATCCTTCATATCAACCTTTTAACATTGGCTGTGATGAAGGGGTTTGGGGATTCTGCTGCTGTTAAAGAAGTCATTTGGAGCAAGAAAAAAAACTAAGATGACATTGGTCCATTACTATCTGTAATAGTCATCCAGCACGGATTACAGGGGAACATCCTGGTTAAAGTCTGATATGTTATCTGATGTAATGAAGGATTAGTTATGATGTAGTATTGGGTGAGGTCTTACCTCAAACTAAAGTTAAAACAGATGGTTTGGGTAAACAGTCTGCTTTTTTTGGTCCAATAGGTCGACTTATGTGCTCATTTTGGTGTACTGGCCCTTTAACTTAGGCTAAAAAAACAAGAAGCATTGCTATTACAATATGGGAGTATAATGTTGAAAGATCTCACTGGAAATGGAAACCTGGCATCATTTTGACTGAAGTTGTATTAAAACAGATTTATAATTCAAGCCTCTGTTTCCCCTAAGCATGAACATCCTACTAGAGGAAAGAATCCCAGCTAATGTTAGAGTAAGACCTCAGGGACGAGCGCATTGAAACAGCTTGTGTCCATGTGAACCTCTGTCCAGTTCTTTGTGCTGGACGTGGTTATCAACTTCCGCCGACTGAATGAGCGAGACCTCCTGACTCAGCTGGAAAGGATCGCAAAGATGGCTGAGAGTGAAGAAGAGCGGCTGCCACCAATCGGTCTGCTCACTTCTGACGGACGCACAGAGTGGGCAGAGTCTCGGAGTGTGCTAATGAGAGGTAATAAAAATTAAAGTCCCTTCAACAATTTTTTATGGAAGTCCTAAGCGGACATATTTCCATATTTTCCTCAGTTTCCATGAAATTACCAGTAAATTCAGGTTGTTTTTTCCAGATCTGGACTCATTTCTAATGTTATCTCGATATTATAACGCACGCCGTTCTACCATGGTAACAGGTTAGTTAAATTCTGGTTTTGAGAAAACGACTGAAATTAACACGTTAATACGAGAACAACAGCGTTCTAATCCTGAGATGACAAGAACAATTAGCGGAGATCTCAGGACAATAACCAAAATTTACTGGAAATCTGAGTTATATAATATGTATGGATGCATGTCTTCTTAGGACTTCCATATTATCCCACTAAATTGACTTTTTTTCAATGCGTTACTCTGTAGAGTCTACTAACAGGGACTCTCTGGACATGATCGAGCGTTGCTTGTGTCTGGTCTGCCTGGACGAGGCCACAGGACCGGAGCTATGCGACACAACGCGAGCCATGTTGATGCTGCACGGCGGAGGAGTGGCCAAGAATAGCGGCAACCGCTGGTATGACAAACCCATGCAGGTTAGTGAGTAAAAACAAGCTTATAGAGCAAACTAAATGTTGTTTGTTTCACATTATGTGTTCTAATTTTCCTTAGAGAACTGATTTAACAACTGCAGTTATGGAAAAAACTAATAAAGTATGGATGAAAACAATGAAGATGAAGGATGAATACTGTTCAACAGGATTTATTTACTTACTGAGGAAAAATAAGACAACTAAATGAATTCACGCTCATTTCTCAAAGTGCATGAGGATGTAATTAGCCAATCCCATGCCAAATTAACAATTCATATTTTAAGAAATGAGGATGCAAATTGACTGTTCCCATTGGATTACAAGCCTGATGTTATTAGCATGAACTTTGATGGAGATGTTTTGATAAAGAATTCAGATTACTTGAATGGATTACATGATTAATATTCCCTTCATAGAGAGTCTGAGGCGTCTTCTTTAATAAATTCTTCACTGCAGGGTGAGGAGATCCAACATGCAGCAGAATGCATGAGCATGGCATTAAAGTGCAAATGAATTAGATGTTGGATAATCTAGCTTTGCAGTTTGGTTCAACTCATGAAAATACCACTAATAATATCATGACTGTGTCAGTTTGTCATAGGAGCTGATGGCTGCTGCGGAGTCGTGTGTGAACACTCACCGTTTGAGGGAATTGTCCTGGTGCAGTGCACAGAGTACCTCCTCAAATACATGTAAGAACTTCAATGCAAACGTGGATGTGATATTTTCTTGCATGCGCTTTGAAGAACCCAAATAAGACTATTAGGACTACTAGGAGAATGCCAGGTGATATTTTATTCCCATGATGCATCAGGATTGGCAGCCCATCAAAGCTGGTCAGAGCCGCGAGTGTGAGCGATCTGCACGCGCCGCGCAGACTCCGATGGAAATGCACTCCAGAGATTCACAAACTCCTCGCCTCTTCTGCTGACAAGCTACAGAGGTCTGGCTTGATTTTGCTATCTGTACAATCAAAGAAGTGAATCAAAGCTTTTCTCTAAATGTTCCTTATATGTCCCTAAAAGGTACTATTGAGAGCATCTTTTAAAAAATCTACATGAGTTTTATGATATGTGTTTGATTTTAAGGATTTTAACAAACTGATTTAAACATTTTTAGAAATTAGATCTAAATTTTTGCTCAAAATGTCTTTCTGTTGGTTTCTGTATAAGTGCTTGAGTTGAATGCCTTTAGCTTGAAGTATGATTTATTATTTTTATCGCAGGCAGGTAAAAAATCTTGACATGAATGTCCATAAATTCTATGACTACGGGAAAGAGTTCATCAAGAAGCAGAAAATGAGTCCAGATGCCTACATCCAGGTTGCCCTGCAGCTGGCTTACTACAGGTGAGATAACTATGACTGTAAAGGATTTTCATACATTATATTTCCACTAGGCTCACAGCTAAAAGGCTTTCTGTTTTTGTGTTACTCTAGATGTCATGGCAGACCAGTGTCGACCTATGAGAGTGCTTCTATACGACGTTTTCAGGAAGGCCGAGTGGACAACATCCGCTCAGCCACACCAGAGGCCCTGGCCTTCTCCAAAGCAATGACTGATGGGAAACCCAGTGCAAGTGTAAGATGTTTTAACAACGGAAACAACCGTTATACAGTTCAGTTTTAATTTAAACTACTGACGAGTAGAATCTCAGTTAAGATAATCGTGTTTTTACATCACTTTATTGATTTTCAGCTGTTTGTTTGTTTCTCCAGGACGCAGAAAAGATGGAGATGTTACGAGGTGCAATAACTGCCCAGACAAAGTACACCATCCAGGTAACTTTTCTTTCTCTATATTTCTATTACAATCTTTACTTTGATTTCTCAAAAAAGAAAAACACATAACACATCTGTTCTTTCTCATGTCCAGGCTATTACAGGGACGGCAATAGACAATCATTTAATAGGACTAAGAGATATTGCACAAGAATTGAAGATGGAGAAGCCAGAGATGTTCAAAGACGAAGCCTATCTCATCAGCAATCAGTTCATCCTCTCCACAAGTCAGGTACAATCATCTGATTTTAAAATACTAAACTGAAACTATACTCAGTCTGAAATGTATGTAAGGCGTGAGCTCTTCCCTGTTGAAAATAGCTGCATTGTATAATTTATACCAGAATTTCCCAGTTGGGTATCCATGAAGTAAATGTATCCAAGTTCATCTATTAATCTACCTATCTGTGGCTCTGGAGGGAGCCTCCAAAGGTCTGAGAAATATCATGTCATAAATGTCATCAGGGTTTTCTAAGCTGTTGCTTTTGACTTTTAAGTTTTGGCAGATAGCTTGCTTTACAAACGATGAGAGTGATGTTTTAAAGAAGTTGGCATTAGGAGGCAAAGACAGGGCTGCAACTCATGACTATGGTCATTATGCATTAATCTGCAGAAGACCTTCTCAATGCATCTATCAATTATTTAACCCATAAACGATCACAACATCCTGAAACGCAAGGTCATGTTGCCCGGATGCTAGCTTTGACTGACTAACAAGATGTTTGCATATTAATATGTACAAGAAAACTTGATTAAAATATTAAAAATTATTTCTGCAGCACTAAACAAAACACGAGAGATATTTTAGTGTAAAATGTCACTCTGTTATTACAGTCAATGCTGCATTTGAGGTTTTTATTTCATTTAACTCACAAATTTACAACAGACATTTATCTGAACAATGTTTTCACACTTCTCTACTTGCAGCCATATCTGATCACACAATCACAACTTTAAATAGTTCCGTTCTGAAATATGTGCTCTTGCTTCAGGTTCCTACGACTGTCGAGATGTTCTGCTGCTACGGACCCGTGGTTCCAAACGGATATGGAGCTTGCTACAACCCTCAGTCGGACCACATCATCTTCTGTGTGTCTAGTTTTCGTGACAGCCCACAGTCGTGTTCAGCAGAGTTTGTAAAATGTCTAGTGCAGGGACTCCTGGACATGAGGGATCTGTGCAATAAGTTCAACTGCAGCTCCTCTACCGGGCAAAAACAGGGTCAGACGCTGGAGACCAACATGCAATCGGACAAAAACTGGCAAATCAAAGTGCCGCAGAGACCGACAGACCTGAGCAAGAATCAACAAACACTGCCTCAGGTTGTGCTGAAAACACCTGGGCAGAGTACCATGGAGGCCCAAACCCAGACGCCATCACAAGGAGAGACACAAGCTTTGAAGAATGGAAGTAAATAAATAAGAAACTCTCTGTGCAAGAGGAAGTATTGGTGGTGTGAATTTAAGTGTGTTTTCTTTGCGTCTCTGTGCTGCAATGACTTGAGTCATTTATGAAATATTCACCATTACTGTGAAACAAAAAGTCGCGTAAAGCTGTTTTATTGTTAACTGTATGGTCAAATGTATCAAGTGCTGATGATAATCTATTAGAGAATATTAGAAGTGTGTGCTGTTGTCAAAACAAATCAAATATGTAGTAGTATCCAGGGTGTCTGTCAACAAAGAGTAGGTAAAAATCAGCCAAAGAAAAATAGTAAAGGTATTGTTTGGTGATGGTCAGTGGTACAGTCAAGGTTTGTGGGAAATAAGGTTACGATGAAAACGGGGGGGGGAATATATATACACTCAAGATTAATTTTGTCTTGTTCATGTTGGAATCATTTTGTCAATGGAGCCTGTCAGTCACGCTGACAGAGCAGAAATTGTCTGTGAGTTATGATAGATGGCTTATTGTCTCACTGTATGTCAACTTGCAAATCGCATGCTGCTATCTACGGACTTCAAGAAGATTATCGTACACGATAACACTAGAATCTTCGATGCAATAACCACTTGTGTTGACTTTAATTGTTGTCTATTGTCCCACCTATTAAGATAAATGGTATGTATATTTCAGAAAATATGTAGACATTTAGTTTTTACTGTATTGTAATCCATATACTGGGACTCAAACTGTGCTTGTGTAAATAAGAAACAAAGATATAAGGGAAGCGTTTATGTTTATCAAAGAATGTAAAGTCTTATTAGAACTGTGTAAATGTACATTTTTGTGCAAATATATCAACTGAGTTATCTATTTTTGTATGATTTTGTTTGTAACCTCATGTTACAGGGTGAAAAAGTAAATTTGAGTATGAAGTTTATGAAACTTACAAACCAGAGGTGATCACTGTGTTTAAGACCGTCTACGTATTGTATTTATGGAGTATATTGCAGATTAAAAGAAAGTCAAGGCCATTTCAATAAAGATATATGTATACTTATTTGCACTTGTAAAATATGTACTGAGCTAGTGTTGCATGGAAAATGTCACCACACCCACTTAAAAGACGTTGAAGTAATTAAGCATGGTAGAATTAAGAGAAGGGTCACATTGTGGAATCAGTTTATTTTTAATTTGATGTGAGAGACTCTAACCTACTATTATCAACACTGCAAAATCAACACTGCAGGAGATGAATGAGAAGTTTTAATATTTTAAAACAGAGTAGCTGTTAACAGCGATGTGTTGTAATAAGTCCAAAATATAACAGCTTTTTAATTTTCGAGTCATAACTACAACCCTTAGAGACATTTTTGGGTAATTGAGACTTTATCTACCTCAGCTTTGTATGTTAATGTCGGCTATGTACTTGTTTTCAAGGAGTATGCGTTAGCAACAGGTGCATCGCGTGTTACTGTTACCTAGGTGACTGCTGACTACATCAAACAATGCCGAAACTAGCGCGTGTGACACTTTGCCACGGACCTTATGAATCCAGCGGAGTCGTACAATACCGGACCTTCCGTCTGCAGGGTCTTCAGGGTATGTTTCTCTACCGCATGTTGTCTCAAACGTCTTTGACTGTTTAAGAAGAGGTCAAACATTGTCCGTTCAATATACCTGCAGCCGCTCTGAGAGCACGCGGGCACCAGTGCGTCATGGAAGAAACGCGCGAGTGGAACACGGTGGAGCTCGTGGTCAACGGGGAGCTCGTCTTCAGCTGTGACACAAAGCAGCTGGAGTTTGGTGAGTTTAGCCAACTTTGACTGAAAGCAGGACTGACTGTATTGTGATGTCACAGTGTGATGTGAGCAGAGTGGAAACCTGAAGTCTGTTGTGCTATTTTACTCCCAAGGTGGAGATGGAAAACTGGATCCTGTTTGCATAGAAGCTGTAAATGCTGTGGAAGATGCTTACTGAAGAAAGCAATCCATCAATTAGAGAAGAAACAAACGAACAATAATAAATAAATAAAATAAAACACACATGTGCATTTGATTTTTTTCTTATTCAACAACCAATTTTATACTACTTTTTAATGTAAATGTAGGCATACTCATGGATTTTTATTTAGATTGCTGCATGAATTCAACAGTGTTGTTTGTTATAGGCTTTTACTGCTCAAACTACATTACTGCAAATGTGACTGCCTATGGGCCCACCTCAATTAGGCACATTCGCAGCATGGCACGCTACTTAGCATTTATAACTTTATGTTGGCTGTTTGCAAAATGTATCCACCAGTACTATTAACAAATCTTGAGGATCAGTCAATTTTAAAGAAGAGGCAGTACAAATATACACAGATTTTTTTATTGATGTTCACTTTGAGCTCACATGGTCATGTGTACTTTTCTTTATAATTCTTATGTTATTTTAAATTACTTTTTAACTTAATGACACACATAAACATGTTTGTATGTTACTAACATTTGTTTCAAGTGATTTCAGGGTTTCTATGGATAGGACTAACCTGGTGCTGTGTGCACCTGAGAGATTAGGAGTGGACAGGCCAAGTTGATGCAGGGAGAGCCAGGGGAGGGGTTGGCTGTCAATAGTCGGCTAATAGCCTCCCATGGCAACTCCCCATAACTCTGGACTTGTTACCCTGTGTATTTGTTTCATTTAAGCAAGTCTATGAAGGTACAACAAGCAGGCGAGACAATACGAAATGAAAGAAAATTGTACTAAAAGTAGAGCCACTAAGAATAGAAATCTGAATAAATGTAAACCATACAGCAATGTCTATGTTAAGAATAGCTAGCCATAAATTAGTGGTCATTCCACAATGCATCAAGCATCATCTGCAACAGAAATCATGACAAAGGCATGTGATTAAACTTAAATACAGATTATTATGTGTTTTATTACTCCGAGTAAGCACAACTCCATCAATTTGTGCATAAATTCCCTGCCCCCCAGCATATGAAAATATTATTTCCTTTAAAAACCTAAAACAGAGAGATTGACAACAGAATATAATGCTAATTAAAATATTTAAATAAGCATAATAAGCTTTGTGCATGGCATATATATGGAAAGGTATGCTTCAGTGTGGCATAACAACAGGATGCATAATTTCAAGGAGCATTTTCCAAGCAAAGTGTTCACTAATATCAGTTCTTCAGTTCTGTTAAACGCCTGGGAACTCCAACATGACAGCCAGGCATCAGAATTTCTCTCAAAGCAGCTAAGGCTTTTCTGTGTTTACGTGTGTGCATCCCTCAGCCTCCTAAGAGGAAGCTGGGCCGTATGTCCTAAGTAAAAAACATGGCTGCACATCTCTGAGCCAGCTGGCTCATGTCTCCTGGTGAAGTGAGGTGTGACAATAAATACAGACTCCATCACGAACAGCTAAGGTAGCCAAAGCAAAAGCAGGCACTAAACCTACTGAGGTGTTACATTTCAGAACAGTCTTCATACCTGTGATATGTATTTCACATTCATTGTTTAAGTACACCAGTTGGTGTTCTGTGTGCGTCTCCCTGCTACTAAAAATATCCATACAAATCAATACATATACAATACATACAAGTAGTCATATACTGCAGTGAGTAGTACTAAATATACTCCTACAGTCATTGTCACAAAGTGATACAAAGTGTCAGCTATTGCTACGTCACGCATCAACTAGGTGAAAATCCGGTTTGAAATGTTATATTAAAGTTTTTTTTTAAATATTTACTAAAAAAAAAATGTTGGAAGTGCAGCACTATTTAGGGGCTGAAAATGTATGTGTGCAGTTGTTTCCAGACAATATGTACTTGTAGGTAAAAAACTGCAGTTCTTCTGTTTGCCCTCCTGAAGGCCCTCTGCTGAAGGGTCCTATCTCAGTCAAGATTATCAGGACTTATAAGGTTAAAGAGGGTGAAAGTGTGGATATCTAAATACAGAAAAGATAAATTATATATCTTAATGAATTACTAATGATAGGACTAACCCTAACCGTTGTAGACGGGTAACTCTGCATAGTTGGAAGACTAGAGTGACCATTTTTTGCCTTCTCTTGTTGTTGTTGTTGTTGTTCAAGTTGTGCTTTAGGATGCTTTTCACATAACAGGTAATGCAGATCATGAAGGACTGCAAGCTAGGATTAGACAGGAGTCAGTGTACTCAATGTAATGTGTCCCTAAGTCAAGGCAGAACAAAGATCCTTTCATGTGACATAGTAACCATCTCTAAACAAAATGCAGTTTTCTTCACGTGCGATTCAGACTTATCTTCTTAAAATTATCTTTAGCAACAACACAACACTTTATTTAAGATTGTCACAAAGCTGAAAGTGTTTAAAATGTGCTACTATTCCACCCCAAGACTTAATAAAAACACCATGGTGGTTGAGATGAAATTGCACCTCTAGCCTGCCTCTTGTTGCCCGCCTGTTCCAGTTTCTCAATTACAAATCCTTTCCCTGGAAGGCGCTCAGGTTGAAAGCTGTGTCCATGAACCTCTTCAGCTCATTGAAGTGGGTGGACTTGTTTCCTGTCGCAGGAGCAGCTGCTGGATCTCGTCCTACATACCTGAAGGAAATATATCACAGGAGTTAATATCCTTCATTTGTGTCTTATATTGTTCTGTCATTAAACATTTTAGGTGACGAGTTAAGAGAAACCCTTACCAAATGGGTCTCTTGTTTGCCACTACTGTTAGCAAACGTGGCCGGACGTAATCATAGTAGCCCATGTTCTTGTGCTCCTCCTGACACCAAATCAGCTCAGCATTGGCATACTTCTCCACTTCTGCTTTGACCAGGTCAAACGGGAATGGAGAGATCTGAGGGGATGTTGAAAAAAATGATAAAAATGTTTTACTCTCATTCCAAAATCCATTATGCATGGCATGGTTGGACAGAGGACATGGATTAAACACCTGTTCTAGTCGTGTGATGGCAATATCTTCTTCCAGTTTTTGCACTTTCCTCTCTTTAGCCAGTTCATAGTAGACTTTCCCAGTGCAGAAATTCACCCTCTTCACTTTGGCTGGACTTTGACTGGCAGGGCCCTCCTCTGGAATCAGCCTCTTGAATTTAGTGTCTGCAGACGTTGGGGATTATAATATGTTACCTATCACTGTAAGACAACATGAATGATGGATTCTTAATTCAGGTTTTACAGAGTTCAAGTAAAACATCACCTTTGGCAAGATCATCAAAACTGGACCTTGCATCGGGATGCCTCAGCAGGGACTTTGGAGTGAAAATAATCAGCTGTGAGGGGAAAAAAAAACGAGAATGTTTCATTTAGTGACAAACACCAGATTGATCCTGTCATCCGTATCTTCTTTGTGTGCTTTGAAAAACTCCAGAGATGAAAGTTTTTATATCTTTTCACGCTAATTTGTTGCAACCATATAGCATGCAACATCAGCGTTGGGAAAACAAAACATTTCTTTAACAGTCAAATAAATAAAAACCCTTCGTGCTCAGCCGACCAAGTCCAGAGTTTAAGAGTTTTTCAGAAAAAAACAAACAATATTATCCCCTATTGGCCCCCTCGCTAATTTGCTCAGGAAGTAATTTTCTCATGCTTCATGAAGCATTGCATTTATATGCGACAGGGGATCAGTTGAGACACTCGCTGTGGCTGAAAACTATGTGACTGAAAAAAGAAGTGTACATATACAAAAAAGGAGAAATGCTCTACACCCCAAAAAGTTTCTAAGCAAACTACTTATACTTTAGGTGTTCAAATGACTAATTAAGAACACACAGAACCTTATGGGTTCCAATAATAGATATGATCTTAAATGAATATAGAGCCAACCATTTTTACATCAACAGCGTACAAGAGAGTTATGACACGGCAGTCATTTTACTCCAATACACACACTCAGTTTGGGAATCTCAAACGCTGTTGTAATGATGTCGTGCTAATAAATGTAAGTTCTTCACCAAATCATTAACAGTTAACGTCTTTGGTGGTACAAATTCAGTGCCACAGGGTCATGTTAAGAGTGAAAACATTTGAACGTCCCAGCTGTTAAACTGCAGCTAGCAAGAGACTGAATGCTAACTGTAGCCTAACTTCTAATTGTGTTTTCTGATACAATTACGATTTAAAAAACAGACTAAACTCAGATACAACATATTTGATTACCTATTACCAACAGACAAGAGGTAATGTAAGGATTTAGCCAAGTTCATTTAGCGTTACAGCTAGGAAGTAGTGTTGTAGCCTACAGAACAAAATTAAAGGCAAAACTCCCTAGCTAATGGTAATATTAGCATTCTGCGACTGTTGCCACCACACATTGAGAAGATTTCATCGCTATTCTTTACGTTAGCTAGGAAAGCATGTTGTACCATATGAAAGAAAAAAACGTCCTAGCTAACGGTAATACTAGCATTTAACCACTGCAAAAGTAGGGGGTGACAGAAAGCAAACATTAGCCTTGTCTGTTTATTGCTAACTGGGTATCATATGTTGTAGTTAAAGTTCAGCTTTGGTTTGACTTCCTTTTGTAGAACACAATCATAAGGTATTGTTAATTTAATCCTCATTATCCATTAATCCTCTTCCTAGTCATAAGTGATTTTAGCTAGACTAAATGCTACCTCTAACAGTTGATGTATTATCTCAAGATATTGCTCATTGTTTTTTTCAGATGCTGATCAATGTTGTTGCGTTGAATGTTAATGATTTGTCAGATTTCCATAATTTGCATATGCTGGAATAAAGCAAGACATTTTATTTTGAAAGGAGAGGGGAAAAAAAGAGATGCAACACTTTACCGGTTTTCTGAACGGCAATAGAATCTGACGTCTGAGCACATGACAGTAGTTAGCAGGCGTGGAGCAGTTCACCGCAATCCAGTTACAATCGTACAGCTGCTGGACTTCGAAATCTCCACTGATCTCCTGCACACAAACAATTAATAACAAAGGAATCAAATAGGTTATTGACTTTAGAAGCAAAGCTTAAATTTGATGTAGACAAAAGTTACAGTTAC